TTGGGGTTGCTTCATAAATCTCTTAAGCTGTCTTCTCTCTTTCATTCTTTTTTCTTTTTTCTGCTCTGATTGGGTGAGTTCCACTGCCCTCTGTTGGAGTTTACTGAACTTTTTCCTTCTTTATCTAGTATCCTGTTGAACTCCTCTAGTGTATTATTTGGTTCAGTTATTGTTTTCATCTCTGATTTCTGTTTAGTACTTTCTTATATTTTTTATTTCTTTGTTGACATTTTCACTTTGTTCATGCTTTGTTCCCCTGAGCTCAGTGAGTATCTGTAGGACTGTTATTTTGAACTCTTTATCAGGTAAATGACTTATTTCCAATTAATTGCGGTCTTTTTCTGAGATTTTATCTTGTTCTTTCATTTGGAACATATTCTTTTGTTTGCTCATTTTTTTCTTGACTCTCTTTGTTGGTTTCTCTACATTAAACAGCCCCCTCTCCCGGTCTTAAAGAGATGGCCTCATGTAGATGAATCTTATTGTTCAACCCTTCCCCTAGCTCTTGGTTGTCCATCAAACCTTTATGATTGTATAAACAGCCTACTTGGTTCTTTGTCATTCCCAGTAATTGAGGGTGTACCAAGACCTGTCAGTGTCCCAAAGGGGAGGATCTTAGCACCTATATTCATTCTGATTGGAAGCCAGACCTCAGATAGTAGCTTTTAAAATATGTACATACACCTCTTTCAGGGAAAGAGCAGGAGATGGGCATTTCTGTTTGTTCCCTCTGCACTGAGGCCTGGGGTAATAGCTAGTTAAGAATTATTTGTTGGTTTGCTTACCATGCCATTGAACCTGTGCACTCAAGCTCTGATGGCCTTCAGAACCAGGCTATCAAGAGGTGTATCCTCTCGGGGCCAGCCACAAAAGCTGGGTGCCAGACCTGAGCATAAGCTCCTTTCTTGGAGACACTGATGACCTGGGGCAGGACAAAGGGAGAGTGCAAAATGGTACCCAAGGGTCTCCCTGGTCTCTGGAGTGGACAGCTGCCAACCCCTAGATATGTATTTATTTAGAGGTTGGCCCCTTAGGCCACAGTTATGAAGGTGAATTAATAGGCCTCTTCCATAGAGAGCCTGGGCATCTCAGGCTGCTCTGTCTCTGCTGTGCCTTAGGGGGTAGCTGATTAAGAACGGTTTCTCCATTTGTTACAGTCCTGTTGGATCCGTGAATGTAGGCACTGCTGGCCTCCCAAGCCAGGAGGTCAAGGGGTGACTCTTGGGTAGTAGCCACATGAACCTTGGTGCCCCTTGTGTGTACAGGCTTCTTTCCAGGAGATGGCAGCAAGCTGGAGCAGGCAGAGGGAAAGTGCAAGCGTAGCCCCCTCGGGCCTCCTCAGTCTTTGGAGAGTATTTCAGTGGGCCTCAAGATGTGTATTAGATCAGATGCTTGCCCTTCAGACTGAAACGTTAAGCAAAGAGTCCTCTTTCACAGAACAACTGGGCATTTCAGCTTCCTTTGCACCGGGCGCTGGAGGATAGCCATAGTGAACCCACTATTTTTTAACTTGTTATACCCTTGTGGATCTCATGGATACAAGCCCTGATGGCTTTCACAGCTAGGTATTTGGGGGGCTCATCTCTCAGGTGCAGGTCTTAAACACTGGGGTGTCAGATGTGGGCTTCAAAACTTTCACTCCTCGAAAAGAAGCTCAGAGTTGTGAGTTTCCTCCCAATTGTGGGTTGCTGCCCAAGGGTGGGATTTATAGCAAGATTGTGTCTCAGCCTCCCCTACTCAAAAAATACGAGTTGTTTTTTTTTTCTTGTTTGCCTGGTATGTAGGAATTGTTCAGCTACTTTTGGACTTCTTTCAGGGGAACTTGTTCCATATGTAGCTGTAGATTAGGTGTGTCCATGGGAGGAATGAATTCAGGATCCTCCTACATCCCCATCTTGACCTAGAATCTTGTATATATCGTTTTAATTTTTTTTTTTTTTTTGGTGTGTAAATATCTGTTTGCAAATGTCTTCCTCCTCCTTAGAATGTAAATAAACTCCCAAAAGGGCATGAGCCTTATTCACTATCCAAGCTCTAGTCTTGGGCACATAGTAGGTACTTAATAAAAAATGTTTGAATAAATGAATAAATCCCTCCTTCTTTGTTTTCATTGAGGGTAGGGATATTATTGTTTATTTCTTGGTATTTCCAAGGACACAAGAAATGTTTGTGATTCTGATGTCTTAGTTTATTTGGCCATTTTTATTGAGCATATATTATATGCCAGACACTGGGCTAGGTATTGAGGATACAACAGTGTATACAACTGAGAAAATTATTGTATGCACAGACATTAGTGAGAGGAAATGGACAACAAATGTAATAAAAAGTAAATTATTTGATGTTTTTTGCTGATGTTGGAATAGAATTAATATTCCTGGAGTGCCTGGGTGGCTCAGTGAGTTAAGCATCTGGCTTGGCCTCAGGTCATGATTTTGGGGTCCTGGGATGGAGCTCCACATAGGGCTCCCTGCTCAGTGGGGAGCTTGCTTCTCCCTCTCCCTCTCCCTCTCCCTCTGCCCTCCACTTGTGCTTGCTCTCGCTCTCTCTCTCTCAAATAAAACATTTTCTTAAAGAGTTAATATTCCTCTGTACTTCCTGTTTCTGAAGAACAAAGTGTTGAACCTCTTCTGTAATAAAATCATAAGTGATCAAAGCCTGTAACAAATTTAATCCTGTCCTGAAAGAAACAGGAATATGTTAACTAGCAAATGGTAACTAAACATCTGGAAAAGTGTGAGAAAGAGAGAAGGACAAGAAAGGGATAGAGCAAAAGATTGTTGCTACAAAGCAGAGTTTCCTCCACAGCTGAGCTGCCTGCCCTGTCATTCTGCAATCTTATTCTGGCTGCTTTCACCACGTATCTGTCCTTCCCAACCTTGAAAGCCCATCATGATGTTTGCTGGCAGAATTTTGAGTGACTAACCCTGAAGTAGCCATTGCCAAGGTATCTTTCCTTACTACTCAAAGCAGGAATAATAAATCGGCCTATGTACTATCTCCTTCCATTTCAAGACACATAGAGTGAATTCAGAGCAAGGAGTGAAGACAGTTACTGCCTGTGTGCCTTAAAAAAAGACTTTTTTTTTTTTTTTTGTAAATGAATGCTTCCTCTCATTGGATCCTTTTAAGACCACCGTGAGTTTATTAAGGTGAGGGTTATAGTTAACATCTCCATATACCCCCAATTAACCCTTCTTTTGTCCCAGCATCCCATTTGGCTTAGCATTTGTCCTGGATTTTTTTTTATAGACTTAATTTTTTTAGAGAAGTTTTAGGTTCAAAGCAAAATTGAATGGAAGGTATGGAGATTTCTCCTAGACCCCCTGCCACTGCATATGCACAGCCTTCCTGACTATCAACATCCCCCACCAGGGTGGTACAGTTGTTACAGCAGGTGAAGCTACATTGACCTATCATCCCTCAAAGCCTATAGGTCACATTAGAGTTCACTCTCAGTGTTATATATTCTGTGGGTTTTGAAACATGTATAATAACATGTATCCACCATTATAGTGTCTTACAGAATAGTTTCACTGCCCTGAAAATCCTCTGTGCTCTGCCTATTCATCCCTCTGTTCTAGACTTAATCGTTTTGTGATAAAGTGTAATTATAATTTTGTATTTGAAAATATTTTGATAGAACTATTTATTTCAACATGGTAAAGCTGCTTTCTTGGTTACAAACTAAATATTTTTAAAGTATGTAAATTTATGGGACGCCTGGGTGGCTCAGTCAGTTAAGCGTCTGCTTTCGGCTCAGGTCATGATCCCAGGGTCCTGGGATCGAGCCCCGCATCAGGCCCCCTGCTCAGTGGGGAGCCTGCTTCTCCCTCTGCCCACTGCTCTCCCTGTTTGTGCACTCACGCATGCTGTCTCTCTACACATAATTTTTTTTTTAAGTATGTAAATTTAATTTGTCTTTCAAAGTAGTCTCAACTTGGGTGATATGTTACATGGTCTCCATAATTACAGTCTGCATTTAATGCTGACAAAAACTGGTTTCCAGAGAAAAAGGGACACTCCCTGGTGTGTCTGGCCAATCAGGTATGGAGCAGGACTAAAGCCTTGTGCTCTGACTTCTGGTACTTTCTATACCAGAGGCACAAAGCCCACTGGGGAGACAACTCAGATCTCAAAGCTTACCACATCTCTGCCTTACTTAAAGTAGTTGTGAAAGCGGGATTCTGCCTGTATTTCTAATTCAGGCATGAGAAAATTCACTAAGTAAATAAATAATGTACCCAGTAAGGAACAAAACAGACCACAGAAGTCCAAGAAATAAAAAATCAGGCAGGCAAATGAAGACCTGCCTGGAGAGTATGTACCTTGAGGTGGAAGTTTGTATTTCAAGGAAGTACTGTGCTTTGAGAGAGGACTGTATAAAATATTAAGTCAGAGAAGAATAGCATCTTCACTGACAAATGTTTGATGGTATTTCGAGACTGAAATTAGTTTCATTTGCATATTTCTGGGACATGGTACATCTGTTTATCCAGCAAAATGAGTCTAGGTTCTGATCAAATACATAGTAAACTTGCCTAATATGGCAATTAGCCATTCTGTACCATCGCCCACATATAATTTTAATATAGTGTCAGCATCCTAAAGATTGAAGTGACTCCTAACTTTTCCATAGCAAATCAGAAGTACATTATTTCAAAAAGGGATAGGTTTTCATAGACCAATTTCTCCTTATACTCATTTTAAGATGTAGTATTTCAAATACATCTTGATGTAAAAACACGTCAGACGGGAGTGATCACTCCTGTGTAAAATCTACATTGCAAGGGGTGGGGTAAATGACCAACGCATGGAAGGAAATGGTAAATAATACAGAATAATAATACAGTGTGTGGAGTTGACATTTCTCCTTCCGGCATTTTTAAGCTGCATTGCATTAGATGCTGTCCTGGTGAAAGGGTGTGTAGGTGTTTTTCTTTATTTGCAAATGGTGTGAATATATGCTTTTATTTTATTTCTTTCTTTATTTTCGCCAGGCCTCTCTATCCGGAGTGTGTGCTGGAAAGCAGACCGCCTTCTAGCAGGGACCCAGGACAGTGAGATATTTGAAGTGATCGTGCGCGAACGAGACAAGCCGATGCTGATCCTGCAAGGCCACTGTGAGGGGGAGCTCTGGGCTCTGGCCCTGCACCCCAAGAAGCCACTGGCTGTGACAGGCAGTGATGATCGCTCTGTCAGGTGGGGCCCCCGGCAATGGCGCTTGTCATGTCCTGGGCTGCCTTGGGATAACAGATTTATTTTGCCCAAATTTGCTTGTTACTCAGGAGAAGGATAAGCCAGAGTACAGAACCACAGTTTCCAAGTGGAATGTTGAGACATTTAGCGCAACAAAACTTGGCTTCTTAGCATTTTGTTGTTGCTATCTTTCTTTGGCTCCATCTTAAGTCATGAAAATGCTCTGAGGAGTGAAAATACACTGCTCCTAGTTAGATAGGCTCCCAGTTCTCTTTCAATTGATGATGTGAGCTAAATGCATCTATCTGTGGTTAGATTATATTTCCCACTCGTGGGCTGGGTCCTCCACAGGGGCCTGCTCAGAGCATTTCACAGTTTTGTTATAGACATTCATCTCCAATGATGAATTCATGAGTTTGTCTTCATTAGAACTTAAATTCTGATTTTCAGAGTTGTCTTTGGTGTGAGGAAAAAACTATTTCTTTGCAAATCCTCAGATGGAATTTGAACATTGTCCTCAAATCAAAGGAAAGTACTGGTTCCTAAGAAAACAGGCAATTTTATGAGGGCCTCAAGGATTCTTGTTGTGGATCGTTTGTTATTTTTTGAGAACACAGCATTGCATAAAATGCTCATTATGAGCACACTTCGAATATCTCTGTGACGGTTGAAGGGCTGAATGTAGGATTTAGAGGTGTGTGAGGAAAGCCGTTCCACTGACTTCAGTACTTCTGTATTTGCTGCTGACCTTTAAATGTGCCCAATGACAAGCAGGCCAGAAAGAGTGCATGCCAGTGGGAGGGAGAGGCTGCTGGATCAGGTGGTTGATTGATTACTGCTTCTGGGCTCTAATAGCTAAATTAGAACATTGTAGACTAGACCGGAGGCTCCTGCTTCTCCCCTGCTCTGGTTCTGTATGTCTGTGAATCTGATCAAGGCACAATGTGCTCATTAGTGGGGTATAAATCCAAAAGTAAATCCATTTTGTGATCTCCACCAAGCACTGAAACCCCATCAATCTCTAAACATCAGTAAACACACACTTGTGTCTCCATGTGGCATACATGTTTATATGGTTTAAGCTTCTCTTTACTTACCTTCCCCCTCTTCTCTTCCTTTTCCTTCCTTGACTCTGAGCGTTCCCTGAACAGGCAAAATGGTGCCACCAAGTTACTTGAGCACCTGAGATACTCAATTTATACTCATCCAGGTAGAAATGATTTCAAGAAAGTCTTTGGCTTTTGTATTTTGGCAGCTTTGTTGCATCTGAGAAATGCAAACATCTCCAAGGAGCCCTGACTGTCAGAATGTCTTATTCCTCTTAACCATGAATTTGGCTAAAATTATAAATGTTCTTTTACACTGAATATTGAAACTTAAGAAGAGACTAAGCCCTAATTTCTTGAGAAAGATGAGCTTTAGTGACTTTATAGGGATGGCACAATCTACTGGGGAGTGATAGTTTCCGTGTGCTAGTAAAGCAAAGCTTACATTGCTTAAAATAGTACAAGGCTAAAAGCAGCATGAGATTATGAATAATGGACGAGGTATTGCAAGACTACCATGAGCTTTTGACTGAACGGTGCAGGCTGCCTCAGGGATCAGCGAGCTCTTCACTGTGCAGCTATCCATTTTAAGGAGCCTGCCTCCATCCATCCTGATGGCAGAAGGCATTTAGAGAAACCGCACCACATGTGACTTATTCATGCCTCTGTATGGCAGACCTCTAGATTCTCAGTCCCCTTGGCAGATCCTGTTGTTTGTGTGTTTAGAAAAGACGGTCTTAGGACTAGGAACAGATAGCGGTTGGTTACCACGATGGCAACTAGCATAAACCCTCATTTGTATCTTCAAATATTTAGTTCATGTTCACTCAGTCTAAGGTGCCTGGATCAGGTGTTTCAGGAGTTGCAGCAACTGTGTGTTGAGGGCACTTGCCCCTGGAGCTCCATTTCTCCCGCAGTAGCTGTGTCCATCAGCCAGGGGCACTGTGAAGTGTCAGCTCCAAGCAAGGGTGGTGGACCTATCTACAGTGGGGCGCCCAGGGGGCTTGTGAGGCATGACAGCGGATGACCAAGCTGACTGTGGGACCATCCTGGGCAGGGGCAGGGGTGTCTTTCCATCTTCTCCATCTCAGACAGGTTTTCTTTCTAGGGAGGCCAACAAATGTAAGTAAGGTGGGTTTCGATTTACAAGTGCTTAAATAACACAGTTACTAGAAGGATACTCCTATTTTCTTTAAACAAACTAACAATAATAACATCCAGTAGTACTTCTTTTTCTTTAAGTATTATTAACAACCATTGGGATAAATAAAGAACGATTTTGAATGTCCAAAGAGAATAATAAGATTTTGTGTGAGGGAGTGTTTAAAATGTCCTTATTTTATCAATCTCAAAATCCCTGGAAATGTTACCTCATTTTATAGTTCTTGCTGGGTATTTCAAATGGTGCCAATGACCCAGCAATAAACTGAACAGCTTCCCAGATAGCCAGACCTGCCACGAGGAAGGACTGGTATGGAGTTGATGCGTCCTCTGCTGTCATCACCATCAGAATGGTGAACAGGCCTTGCGGCCTGGGGCTGGCCAATGACCATGAGAAGTGGGTTTTGATTTTACTTTGTTCTTGTGCGTAGGCTGTGGAGCCTGGCTGACCATGCCTTGATCGCCCGCTGTAACATGGAGGAAGCAGTTCGCAGTGTGGCCTTCAGCCCCGATGGATCTCAGCTGGCCCTGGGCATGAAGGATGGCTCTTTCATTGTGCTCCGAGTCAGGCACGTACTGACCAATAGGGAAAATAATGTCAGAAATGCTCTCCTGTTGAAGCCCATTCTCCTGGCCATGGTGTATGCCAGGACTTAAGGAAAAAGGCATTTACTCTTTCAAATAGGAACACTCTAGATTCACAGTCCCCTATCTGTATTTCTCAAACCAAACACTCTGAAAATCCAGTTTTTGGATAACTCTTTTTTTTTTTTTTAAGAATTTATTTATTTGAGAGAGAGAGAGAGAATGAGACAGAGCATGAGAGGGAAGAGGGCAGAGGGGGAAGAGGGCAGAGGGCAGAGGGGGAAGCAGACCCCCCGCTGAGCAGGGAGCCCGATGTGGGACTCGATCCCGGGACTCCAGGATCATGACCTGAGCCGAAGGCAGTCGCTTAACCAACTGAGCCACCCAGGCGCCCCTGGATAACTCATTTGATAGCACGTCTTGACCCAGTGAACTGATTTGAGACTGTTTATTGCCTATTAATCTCTTAATAGGAATAATTATCATGTGATTTGCTACAAAAATATTAATGTGTGTGGTTTTTTTTTAAAGATTTTATTTATTTATTTGACAGAGAGAGACACAGTGAGAGAGGGAACACAAGCAGGGGGAGTGGGAGAGGGAGAAGCAGGCTTCCTGCAGAGCAGAGAGCCCTATGCGGGGCTCAATCCCAGGACCCTGGGATCATGACCCGAGCCGAAGGCAGATGCTTAACGACTGAGCCACCCAGGCGCCCCCAAAAATATTAATGTGTTGAATATGGGGTGCCGCCCTAACTCCTACTGGGGATGTTACATAATATATTGCATGTGAACCTTTCTAGAACCCAGTGAGTAATGAACTCCCAAGCTCATCTGGTCCCAAGAGGTTTATGGGCTTATAGGAAGCCAAGAAAAGAGAAAGAAATGAGAAAGGCTCCAGCATGGCCAGATTTTTAGAGGTGGGCTTGAGTAAAAGATTTCTTCCACGTATAACGAAAACTTAAATAGAATATTTCATATTTATTAACATCCTATCTTTACTGGACAAAAATTATGACTCATGCATGTAATTTCTCTAAACACACTGGTTGATTTTTGGCTTACACAATTTGTGATTACAGAAAGAAAATGCAGCTGTAAATTAGATACTGCATGTTTTGCACATGGAAAATTCTATATAGCTTTGAAAAATGACCTTGGCACAGTTTATTACACTAAATTCTCATTTAGCAGCCACACATAACTTATTATGAGTTGGTAGGCAACATTTTCTTTCTCTGCTGAGTCATGGTTTGAAAAGATGGCCAATTACCAGATCTTCTTTTCTTTTTGATGGATTTTTATTGATGGATTTCCCAAGCCAAAAAAAAACAAAACAAAACAAAAGAAAACCCCAAGACCCTATTTGATATTATAGCAAAGTATATTATATAGTATATACATAGCATATAGTGTATGTATAGTAAACAATAATGCCATTAATAAGTGATAGCAGGTGAGGGGAATTATGTGGAAGCTAATATTTGCCATTATTTGTGCACTGATTTTGTTGGGAGTGGAAGAAGTTGTTGGCACAGGGGACCTGCTAGTCAGAATTCTGTCTCATGGTGGCAAGTTTCAAATGAGGGCAGCAGTTCTTACCAGAATCTGATCAAAAGGGATGCAAAATCTGGGTGAACTGATATATGAATTGTTGAGTTTCACAGTGAAAATTAAATAATTACATAAGATTTAATATTAAAAAAGTAACCTTGACGTAGTTTACCTTTCTCCGGGACACATTTTTAAAACAATGTTACAAACTGCAATTTTTCAAGGCAAAAAGTTTTAGGGGAAAATAATACGTAATTAACCATGAAAGCAAATAGGCACTTCATTAAATTTTTTCATTGTTTTTATTTTGGAAACCTTAAATATTTCAAATGTTGGTTAATTTTGCCTAAAATGGCCAGAATCTAAATAGTATTTTATATCTTTCTTCAAAAGTTAATCCTTTAGTTCCTATAGGTGTTCTCTCCCTTTTAAAACCATTTTTTCTCTGACATACAAATTTTGAGACATGGCTTGGGGTTCCTATTTCTAGATTTGCTGCTTATCACTTTTTATTGCTGCTTTTTATTCTTATAGAGATATGACAGAAGTGGTTCATATCAAAGATCGAAAAGAAGTCATTCATGAAATGAAATTTTCTCCAGATGGCTCTTACCTCGCGGTGGGATCCAATGACGGCCCAGTGGATGTGTATGCCGTTGCCCAGCGGTATAAGAAAATTGGAGAATGCAGCAAGTCCCTTAGTTTCATCACCCACATTGATTGGTCTTTGGATAGCAAATACTTGCAGACCAATGACGGCGCAGGAGAACGCCTGTTCTACAAGATGCCGTGTAAGTCCTGCAGGCGTTGGATGTTTGTGAAAATCAAAACTCTGAACCACATGCAGCAAATATATAAGAACGTCATCATGATCTCAGGGCAAGGAGTGTTCTCAGAAACATGACCCCCCCCCCCCCCACTGAATCTCAAAGTCTCAAAAGAAAGATTGATAAATTGGAACATATTAAAATAACAAATCACTGTGTAATGAAAGAAATCATGAAAAGACAAGGCAAAGACTGGACAGAAATATTTGCAGTGGTTATGATGGGCAAAGGATAGATAGCTAGAAGTTATAAAGAATGCCTAAAGATAACTGAAAGGAAAGATATCCTAGAAAAATGCCCCAAAATGCTAAACATTTGAGGATCACGGTCCTCATTTGCTATGATGGTTTTAGTCTGAAATTTGTGTTTTTCATAATTGGAAGTCTTTATGATATTATTTGGTGAAATATGCTAATTGGGATTTAAAAAGTACAATTTTTATTTGTCACCTCCACTATCTCTTTGAGAAGAGATTCATCAGATTTCTATAACATTTAGTGACATTTAGTTCGTGATACTAAAATGGCAAAAATAAAAGATAATTTTCTGTTTTGTAATCTTTGACTAATGATTTTTTTAACATAAGAGGAAAATTTTAACATCATGAATCTTGTCATCAAATATTTTATCTTAAAATTTTTCCTGAAAAATTAATTTTTATTGGAAAATAGTACATACAATCTAACCATGTAACCATGGCTTTTTAAAGAACCTCTGCCCTATCAACTTCGCCAGCACACCATCCCTGGGTAGATATTTCTGTGTGTCTACTTTCTTTGCTTGAAATTATTTCATATATATTTTACATATGTGAAAAATTATGGAATACATGTTTATCATTTGCAATAAAAAAGTAACCTCCTGCTCAGTGATAATATCATAATTTGCTTTCTTGTCCTCCTGTTAGTGAGCATTTGGGCTTAACTTATTTCTAGTTTCTTCGCTGGTACAGACGGTGCATCTCCAAATATCTTCATATAGGGGGGGATTTCCTCTTCTTAGTTACTTCCTTGGACTATATTTTCCAGAGGGGGAACGTTGTTGGGTTAAAGACTGTGTTCTGTCAACACTCTGATTTGTGTTCATCTTCATGAATTTTTATGTGACGCTGTCAGTCTAGAATTTCTGCGTGCCAATTTGACAGTGTGCAGGTAATGTATAAGAGCATCTATTCTCACAGATTCTTTATTTGAAAACATTTGTTTATTTTTGAAGAAAAAACTACGAGGTAGTACGCTAAATTGTCTTGATTTTGAATTTTAGAACTGTGTATGACAGGACATTTTCCCAAGCATTTCTGTGTCCATGTGTTTCTGCCTTTGCGTGCCCCTGGGTGACCTCCCTCACCAGGTTCTGGTACAAGCGGGGAATCGTGCCATACATTTGAGGACATACCAAGCACAACTGTCAAGACTCTTTTCCCCTAACCACTTACATTTAGTTAATCAAAATTTGGTGGATTTTCATTGTCTAATGCTTTTAAATTTGTATAATATCCATGAAATGTTTACACAAATTTTTGGAGCCTAAATTTTTAAAAATTACTTCTATGGATCTTTGAATTTGAAAAGTAGAAGTTGAGAATAAATTTTTTTAAAAACCTGGCAAACTGTGACTAAATATGATATATATATTTTCATACAAATCATTTCATCAATAACACAAAGCATACTATCTGTATAGTAGTTTTGGATATTACATTGAGTACAATGATCATTTTCTTTCTCATCTCCATATCTGAGTTTTGATCATGCATTCTCTTTAAACCATGCTGGAAGAAAAAAAATCACAAATTGGGTAAAGAGATTAGAATCTTTAGGTTCCTTGGTTTATAGAGGTTTTTTTTTAATTTCTATAAACCTCTATAAGAAAAATGAATAAAGTAAATTTGAATATGCTTTTAAATGTAACATTTTGTTACTATGTATTGATAATTTTCAGCTGGGAAGCCTTTAACAAGTAAAGAAGAAATCAAAGGGATTCCCTGGGCCTCCTGGACTTGTGTGAAAGGCCCTGAAGTGAGTGGAATTTGGCCAAAGTACACTGATGTTACTGACATCAATTCAGTGGATGCAAATTACAACAGCTCCGTGCTGGTTTCTGGCGATGATTTTGGACTGGTTAAATTGTTTAAATTTCCTTGTCTCAAGAAAGGTAAGGCCAAGAGAGAGATTTCATTGAATAAGTATTTAATCTAAAATGTATACGCAGTATAATTAAGACTGATTTTCTTGGTGTCTGTTCTTGCAGATTATTCATTTCATCTTTATATTCATTTTTACTCTTTAACACTTTTAGAGAAAATGTGTTGTTGATGTCATTTACTTTTGACGTTCTAAAATATGGGATTTTACCAATTTAAGGCAGGTTTTGTTCACAGAGTTACTACTAGCGAGTTTGTGATTGAGAAGATTCATGTTTCACATTTTAAATAAGTCATAGTTTTGTTTTTATTTATGTAAATTCATAATTTAAATTATATGTTACATTACAATATTAAAATTCTTTTATGCTTCACGGCTAATTGTGTTTACACATGGAAAGCCAAGCAAAATCCTTTTTAGAGGTATTTAAGATAAAATCTGAAAGTGATTGTTCTGGTGATGATGCAGGTGTTCGGACCCCTTGTTGTAACACTAATCTTGCAAACCCCATTTACATAACTGGTGAAATTTTTGAGAGTGGAGATTGGTTCAAAAAAATTCTCCTCTCGCGTTTTGTCGTTCTGTTTTATTGTTGTTAAATCTTGTCACCTCAGTTTTTATGGCACCTTCAGACTTTGTAGAATATGACTGAATTAGCCATGTAATGACCCTGTCTTCTTCTTCCTTAAAAAGTTGAGGCAAGAGGGGAGGGGAGTGGCGGGATGGGTATTAAAGAGGGCATGTACTGCATGGAGCACTGGGTGTTATACGCAAACAATGAATCATCGAACACTATATCAAAAACTAATGATGTAATGTATGGTGATTAACATAACATAAAAAAAAAAAAAGTTGAGGCAAAGCCCATACACAGGGTTTTCTGAGATTCCCCACCAGCCTGAAAATCTGATCTTCAGAAAGTAGTCAGTAGGGACATGCTGTGGCCTGAAAACTCGCTCACTTGAACAATTTTTAAATTAAGAAAGGAAAGGGACTGAAAAATGTAATCGGAGAGTCATTGTCGGATAACTGGCAGTTCAGAAGCAGCAACGGTTATGGTTGAGAACTGAACATAAAACGCATAGCAAAGCGGACATCCTTTACACTTGATAAAATGGCCATCACTTTAAACTGCTTGAGGCACAAAATTACCTCAATGTGCCTAATTCACACTCTCCCCTCTCTGATGAGTCTTTTGAGTAATAGGGCATATCCCGTTAGACTGAGCAATGTACTTGCAGAACCTGAGTTAGGCAACCAGAAGGAACGGAACGTGGGAATTGAGAAGAAACATCACTGGGACCCGAAGCAGTGCTGTTGGTCTCAAGAGTCAGGACTTGGGAAGAAGTTAATTCACGGAGAGTTGGTATTTCCTGTGTATCTCCAAACATTGTAGGGTGGTCTTGAGTCTGGAAAAGAGGAATGGAAAGGGAAATCTTGGGTTTATTGATGAGAATGGGGGAAGGGGGAGGGAGGAGGTGAGCAGTGCTGTCTGTCCGAATGAGACAGCCTGATATGTAAAACAGCCCTGATGATGATGGCACACAGGAGACATCTGCCGAGTAAGGGAAGGTTGACAGCTGAGTGATAGTGTGGTGGGAGTAATAACAACCTCCGCAGTAGTCTGCGGAAGTATCCATATTCTCTGAGCAAATTGACTTGTTCTACTTTTCATGGCACATGGTTTATAAATCTTGCAGTTTGCCTCAGAGACATTCAGACTTCTGTGGCCTTTCTGTGCCTGAACTACCGGCAGGGGAGTTCTGAAAGGAGTGTTGTTGACAGGAATGGTAACCGTTGGTGGAACTTGTCACCCTGTAGCCCAGGGTCCCAGTGGCAGGTATGCCCCCAACCTTTGAGCCTGTAACAGCCAAACATGAGCAGGGGCTAGTGACCATGAGAAGTGTGGAGGCTGAGCAAACATGGTAGTTTTCCATTGTGATTAAATAAAACTTCCAATCAAGTTAATTGACACATTTACAATTAATGTACGAAGGATTCTGCTGCACAGTCTTCTGACACAAATGTTCTGCAGTTAATGAAAATGCCTACAGTGGTTTTTATTTTTACATCACCAAGCCAGTTTTTCTCATTTCATTTTGACAGTTTTCAAATCTTTTAAAATAAGCAGTATCGATACTGATAATTTCCCCTGATGTCATTTAGACTACATTCTGTTTGACCATCATCATGCAGAAACTTCCATGAGGTAAAAATTCAAAGCCTTGCTCATTGACATTTGCCACGTCTTACTACCTTGGCATCAGCCCTTCTCCAAGGGAAGGCTCTCCTACTTGACTGACTTGTGTGTTGCTGCCCCATTAATCCTTCACACACACACACACACACTCTCTCTCTCTCTCTCTCTCTCTCTTCTCTATCTCACATAGTCCTTGAAGAACTCCCTCCCAAAATAAGTGTGTCCTGGATCTTGTAAGACATGAGTTGCATAAACCCTGGACCTTGAGGGGAACAGTGTTGGCTTTCAGTAGAGCTTGGATGAGCTTGATGCAGGAGAGGAACATAAAGTTCAGGGTGGCTAGAGCGTGATGAATGAGGGAAGCATTGTGTACTCAGAGGCTGGAGAGGGTGGTGGGGACCGTGTCATGAAGGGCCTTGTAGCCACTGTTAGAAATTTGCGTCTTACTCTAAGTGTGGAGGGAAACTATTGAGGGCTTAAAATGGAGGGGTGACATGACCAATCTAAGTTTTTAAAAGACCACTTTGATATCATGTGGGATGGATTAGGGATGGGGAAGCTTTAAGTAGACTCTTGTACAAGTCCAGGTGAGAGGTGAGGTGGCTTGGACAAAGGTGTTAGGAACAGATGTGAACACAGGTGCATGAGGTTAGGAAACAGTGTCAAGGTAGAGCTGAAGGTCTTGCTGATGGATGTGGGAATAGAGGGAAAGAGAGGAACTGAGGGTGACTCCTAAGTTTTCGGCTTGAGCAGTGGGGTGGATGGTGGCACCATTTATGGAGATGGGAAAATAAGCAAGGAAAAGTGTGTGTTTGGGGGAGAGATTGAAAAAGAGAGGGATGGGGATAAGAGAAGGGAAGGAGAACTTAGTCTGTGTTGTTCATGATAAATCTGAGGCACCTGTTAGACATCAAGTGGACGTGGCACATGGGCCATCAGCAGTCCAGGGAGAATTGAGGGCCGGAAGACGAATATTTGGCAGTGGAGGGCATATTGACAGTATCTAAAGCCATGGGAGAGAGGACCACCAGAGAAGAGATGAGGGCAGAGGCCTGAGACATCCTCGTGGTTCAGAGAACCAAGGGAGGTCTTGTAAAGTGACCATGTCCTAGGGAAAGCCTGGAAAGAGGTGGACGTGGCCTTCTTTTATTCAATAAATATTTGTTACATGCTATTGTAAGAGGCTGGAGATACATCAACAAATAAAAAAGGCACAAATCCCTGCCCTCATGGAGCTTTTGTTCTTCTGAGGGGACACAGTCAATAAAGGAAATATAAACACATCTCATGAGAAGTGCTACAATGAAAAAGCAAACAGTAGAATGCTCAGATGGGGGCAGCTTCGTGGTGGTATTTTAAATAGTGTGGTCATTTTCACCTTCATATACATTTAAATCATTACCTCTCCAATGAGTATTTTCAGTTGAACAGATGGCTTTCTCCCCCATTAAAGAGGTTCCGTTAGAGGGCCTGCAGTAGGTAGCATTGTTTCTGAAGGAGGGATGCAGTGCTTGCTGGCCCCCTGAAATCTCCCGTAGCCTTTGGAGTACTAGGCCTCCACATGATAGGATGGACCCGACCTGTTTTCATAACTGCCTTTGTGCTGCCCTCTACCAACCATGTGCGAGACTTTGGTAGTTCAGCTACAGCCGTAAGTGCAAATAGCTTTCCTTCCACAGTCATTCCCCTGGGGATGGTGTTCACTGAGTAAAGCAATCAGTGCAAGGGAACAAAATTTAATTCTCCCAGCTCTACATCCATGACTCTGAACAATAATTTGATTTTTTTTCCCCACAGAATTATTCTGTTTCCCTATTACAAAGGACTCTCTGTCTTATTTTGGATTTGAGTAAGAATGTGTAAGATCATCATTCTGAAGCATTTTATTTTCAGAACCAGTGAAGCAGTAGGCATTATCTGGAACAGGTTCAGATGTGTCTTCAGCCACAGGACTTAAATGTTAAGGCCATTTTTAGCTTAATCTGTACTGGAATAATTGAGAGAATTTGGGGAGCCTTGGCTTGCTATGATATGTAACACTGAAAATTATATCTTCTAATACATTTAAGGATTTTACTTTTCAACGTGAAGAGGAATTTAATTTTTTAACCTATGAATTCTATTTTTTTTTTTTTCATTACTAATCTTCTCGAAAATATCTTTTCAGGAGCCAAATTTAGAAAGTATGTGGGCCATTCTGCACATGTCACAAATGTCCGCTGGTCCCATGACTTTCAATGGGTATTGAGCACAGGAGGGGCTGACCACTCAGTTTTCCAGTGGAGATTTGTTCCAGAAGGTGTCAGCAACGGTCTGCTGGAAACTGCACCCCAGGGTAAAAACCAATTGTAATTTTTCAGCATTTTTTTCCTGATCAATAAAAATTTCAAAGAATGTTCTAATATCTCTCCTGAAGATAAAGAGTTAAAGCAATTTTGAAAAATTCATTCCTATAATAAAATTTAAAATTAAAAAGAAAAACAACTTTGAGACACATATGAGTCAGTTGAATAACTTTCTTCAAAGGATTTTGTTTATAGCAGATGCAAGTTGAAGGTCAAAGGTTTACATGAAGAATTAGCCTTTAAGAATAACAGGAACAAAGACATTACAGCCTCTTTAGGACAACTGTAACTCTGGCAGGTCTACACAGTGAGACAACAGGGGGACAGAGTAACCTTGGGTGTAGGAGTTGGCTCCAGAATGAAGTTCAAACAATAGTCCACAATTGGGACCAATGTGTTCTAGTTCAGGGGATATGTAGTCATTCTATTTACTGTGATGTCAGCAGAAATAATCGGCTAATAAAATTTAAAACCAGGTGAGGACATGTTTTCAATGGGAGAGTTTCTGCAGCTTTTGACCATGGCAATTACTGCCACTCGGTGAACATGGCAAAGGCTAAGAGGATATTTACTGAACTAAGTAGTTGGATTTCCTTTTGCTCCAAGCTTCATTTTGGTAGAATCTTTCCCTGACCTTTTCTTCCTTTTTTTTTCCCCCTTTTTTTCTCTTTTCAAAGCAAGATTTAAACCCAAAGATTTGTTATCCCCTGAAAGTATGGAAATGAGTTCAGTCTTGGAGGGGCAGGGTGGGGGGTAGTTGTCCTTATCTGTTAACGCTCCTGAAAGGAGTATGCTGAACTTAACCAGAAGATGGGGGGGAAAAAGATGTTTTAAGAACCTACACCAAGTAAAACTATGGTATAGTGATTTTTAAATTTACTTTGCTAGAAGAAAGGAAATATTTTAAATAAATTTATAAGCTCTCTTGGGTCTCCGAACTTTTGCTTGTTTCTCACGGATTGTGTTTCTGCAGAAGGTGGCACTGATTCCTACAGCGAAGAATCTGATTCGGATTTATCTGACGTGCCGGAATTGGACTCTGATATTGAGCAAGAAACTCAAATCAATTATGATCGCCAGGTCAGTAAGCAGAGAGCCTCATAATAAATGCCTTACAGCCCAGAACATCAATCTCATTGGATTTGGACGTTGCACTAAAAATGGCTGGTACTTGGGCAGAAGAGAATCAAGACAAGAATAAGGAAAATCACCTGCCTCTTGTCTTTAAGTACAGATTGTAAATAAGGCCTTTAACCCATTCACATAATTAAAATTTTTTAAGTGGAAGGTAGTAGCCAATTTTAAAACTGAACCCATGACAGGGTTTTCTGTCTTTTTTTGCAGAAAAAATATGCAAGTCAGCCACAGAATTTTTCATTTTCTTAACAGATCATGAAAGCATGTGTTTTCTGTACAGAATTGGTAGCCTCTGAGCCATGGTAGTTTGCAAGTGAGCTGGTGTCCTGCTTTCTCTCTTAACTTACATAGACCATTATGAAGACCATTTATGAAGACCATTATCCATTTAATTAAAGTAAAAGCCCAAATACAATACGCATGATCTCTCCAGTCAGAAATCACCTCTAGTAGAAAAGTTGCATAATTACTATCAAATTGGGTCCTAGTTTTTTGAAAATATTCATTTCATTTTAGTGCTAAACAGTGAGTGTTAAAGAGAGCCATCCTTCACAGGAATCTGGAGACTCGTCCCTTTTTTATGGTTGATAACTATAGGTGTTCTGTTTTCTTCCTTGTCATTTCATGAATGTCTGTAAAGCAGACTCTGTACCTGATCATGGAGTGAATAAGATTTCAGGTTTCAGACACAGCAACTGTCAGTGTTGCCCACGGAGATGTACCATAGAGGCTGGGGGCAGCTGCCAGGTAACACATGTCTCTACGGGGCCAGATCCTGTGCTTTCCATACACCGAATCCAACCCACAATAACCCTCAGAGGTTAAGTACTTTGTCCACGTCCACATCATCCGTAGTATTGATAAGAATGCGGATCTGGGCTTCTCTCCAAAGTGCACATTCAGTGTATTGCTTGGCTTTGCCTCTGTAGAAGCACTGAACCTTTTCAGATGATGACTTTTTTTTCCACCCCATAATCATCACTCATTGAATCTGTGTTTGAAATATTAGTACAAAGGCAGTCCAACTGATGGTTTGGGTCACCTTCTTGATGAAATCAGCTTGACTGTGCAATGTATTATGCAATAAAACTAAAGGTGAGATTGAAAGGAAATTATTAATGTAGAAATATACACACACACTAAACAATATTATATTCTGGTATCAAGGGGAAATGGAATTTAAGCAAAGTGAACATAAAATTCAGGGAAAAAAGAAAAGCAGTTTTCTTTAGTTGGGAGTTTTGTATTTAGTAAAAAGGTGCTAGTGAAAGAATGAAAAGGCTTGACTCTACTGAAATCCATGCCTAGAATTTATTTATTCTCCCTGGCATCTTATTTTCTAAAGCTTCATCTGTATTATTTGATTTACATTATTTTTTGTTGCTGAGTTACTCCTGAGCAGGAAGTTTTATTCTGTTCTACAGATGGGAATTTTAGGTCCATAGAGGTTATGAGACTTGTTTAAATAAACAGTTGAAATAAATGCCAAGACCAGAATTCCATTCTCTTGAGTAGTTGATGAGCTGAAAAAAGCATTATGGGCTCAGATGGATAATTAACTTTAGCTTTTACAAGCTTAGTTCATTGCATCTGCAATAGACAAAGCAGTAATGAGGTATCTTTTGACTTCCTTTTTTTTAATTTTAAAGATTTTTGGTTAAATCCTAAACAGAGACTGTATTATGATAATATTCTTTTAGTTACATAGCTTTATCAAATGAAATTTTTCCTTTATGAAGATGAGCAATTATTAATAGATTTACTTTGTCTTGAATGTGTTAAATTGATCTCTCTCGATAGTAGGTCATGAATACATGATAGAGAAACATTACTTTTTATCTACATTTAGATTAAATTGCAGGAAATATTCTCTGAGTCAGCAGCACAATTTAGGTCCTAGGTTAGGCCAAGAGCTTTGCTCTAAATCTCAGAGTCTGATCTGTCAAGATACATGAGATCATGAAAGAAGATAATTCCATAGAGTGATCACCATGATTCATGAGGTCTGTGTTTTGCAAATGTCAGAATCACCAAGAGATTTCTCACCTTAGAAGAAATTATAGCAAAACATTTTATTGTTTTTTATTGATAATTTATTGAGTCATTTCCTTTCTTATTTTACCAGAAAATTGTTATATTTTCTGAATATAAATTATTTAAACTCAAGATGACCTTGAATCCCAATGATTCAAAAGGCATTTCAAGATAGTTTTGTTCATTAGAAAGTAAACTTCATTCTCATGTTTTATGTACTCATTTTGGTTTATCTTTTCAAAGAACCAACTCTTAAGTTTGTTCATCTCTTCTATTGTCTTATTCTCTATTTCATTTACTTCTGCTCTAATCTTTATTATTTCCTTCCTTCTGCTAACTTTTGGCTTACTATGCTCTTTTACTCATTCCTTGAGGTATATTGTTAAGTTGTTGATCTGAGAGTTTTCTTTTTTCTTAAAGTATACGTATATAGCTACAGACTTTCCTCTTAGAACCGCTTTTGCTGTATCCCATTGTTGTGTTTCCATTGTCTCAAGATATTTTTTTAATTTTCTGTTTGATTTCTTCTTTGATCCATTGGTTCAGAACTGTGTGGTTTAATTTCCACATACTTATGAATTTTCCAGCTTTCTTCCTGTGATCATTTCTACTTTCATACCATGGTGGCCAGAAAACATACTTGGTGTGATTTCTATCTTGTTGAATTTATTGAGACTTGTTTTGTGGCCTAGCATTTGATGTATCCTGAGAAGAACTTGTATCCTGCTGCTGATGGCTGGGATGTTCTGAATATGTCTGCTAGGTTATTTGGTCTGCAGTGTTCTTCATCTGGTGTTTCCCTATTGATTCTTTGTCTGGATCATCATTTATCCATTGTTCAGAGTGACACCTTCCCCAACTATTACACTACTGATGTTTATTTCTCCTTTTCGTTCTGTTAGAATGTGCTTTATATATTTAGGTGCTCTGATGTTGGGTACGTATTTAAAATGGTTATATCTTCTTGATGAGTTGACCCCTTTATCATTATATATAATGACCGACTTTTGTCTCTGGTGACCATTTTTAGCTTCTTATGTTCTCAAAAACTTGATTTCCTGCAGTTAAAGACCTCCTGAGAATTCCAAGATACTAATATTTTTGAAACCCGGAGAGTCTCAACTAAATGTTTCTGCTATGCTTTAAGGTTTACAAAGAAGATCTACCTCAGCTAAAGCAACAAAGTAAAGAGAAAAACCATGCAGTGCCCTTCCTCAAAAGAGAAAAGGCTCCTGAGGACAGCTTGAAACTCCAGTTCATACACGGGTGGGTGCCTGTCACCAGCCTTATCAGCCTACCATTGGGTCCCCTCTTCTTGGTGCTGTCCCACTTCAGGCTGGCTCTTCTGTCCAGTGTGTACTTACCCGAAGTAATAATAGAAACATGATTCTCTGTGCGGTTATCTCAGTTGATGTCCTCTAGTCATAACAATGTGTGTATCTAGATTTTTCATGCTTCATTGACTTCCATACACATACGTTTCTGTGGCTCATTGTTACTACACTCTGTTCTCTCCCCCGTCCCTGTTCCTGTTACCCCCATATTTCCTGCTCTGTTTAGCTGGCTGCACCTACGACAATATTTTTTCAAACAATTTTGCTCACATATGCCCCAATAGTTATGAATTTTTAAAAATAATGTACAACCTTCCACACTTTAAGTTGACATCTAAAATTTTTCAATGTAAGGTTAAATGATTGTGAAGAATATAGTATCTAGTGCTTTGTAAATACATCATTCATTTAAGGGGATCAATTGGAACTGAAATGTCATAGATATTTGATTCCCACCATCACCAATTTAAAAAATACCTGAACTCATATTTCTATGCTACTTTTCCCATAGAATTTTATACTAATGTACTATTTTTATGCTTGAAAGGCTTTTATTGATCACCCTATCATACATTTTGCAAGGAAAGAAATGTATATAAGCGCAATTTAAATTTAATTCCCTGTGATCCTGAGTCTCTAACTTGTGTTATCTAGTATGGGATCCACTTAAAGCCACTGGGCATGTGAAATATGGCTAGTCTGAATTCAGATGTGTTGTAGGTGTAAATGCACACTGGATTTCGAAGACTTAGCATGAAAAAAAGAACGTAATATATCTCATTAAAATGTTTATGTTGAGGGGTGCCTGGGTGGCTCAGTCGGTTAAGTGTCAGACTTTTGATCTCAACTTAGGTCTTGTTCTCAGGGTCATGAATTCAAGCCCCATGTTGGGCTCCATGCTTTTATATTGATTTCATATATTGATTTGTTTTATATTGATTACATAATATTTTAGACGTAATGGGTTAAATGTTCTTAAATTTCATCTGTTTCTTTTTATCTTTTTTAATGTAGAAAATTTTCACTTTACCTACATGGTTTGCATAATATTTCTATTGGACATTGCTGCTCTAAGTGTTCATTCTTTTTTGGATTGAATTTTTTTTTACAACTGTTAGTACAAAGCTTATCAGACCAACATAAATATAGCACAAATTCTAATAAGTACTTACTAAATATAAACAATTTTATTGGAAAAAAATTTTAATAAGATTTTTTTCAGTGAGTTCAGATATATGTACACATATTATTGCTAGAATGTGATAGAGTTTAGTATTGATTCTATTCCCATTTATCATTTTTTAATAGTTACAAGCACTGAGAAAGCTTACTCACATAAATAAGTAGATGAGAAAGGAAGCAATTTTACCATAGCAACCTTACTCAGTTCTTTAAGCTCCTCTTGCAACACAGATAGGTATATCTTGCAATTTTGATACATCACATGAAAATATAGTTTAATGATCTATCACCTGACAATTCAATGAAATCACTCTTCAATTTTATTAAAAGCAAAGAATTGGAAGTCACTTGACTTACAAAAGAACTTCATGTCTAGTTATTGGAATTGTTCACTTTCAATATCCACACCTGAGTTTGTTTTGGTGTTCCTGGAAGGTTCCATGCTCCAGGTTAATAGAACATAATAAGATTCTATGTGGACAAAAGGAATGGCTTTCCAATGTGAGAGGAAGGTGGTAGAGAAAGGGGAGGTGGGAAGGGAAAACCTGCACCTCCTCACAAGTGTGTTCTCAAACTGGTCACTTTGAAGAAGACACATACAGTAGCTGAAGATCTAGAAACAAATTCTCTTAAACTTATCAGTGCAGATTTGCCCTTTAGAGAGACTCACATGCCCTCAGAGATCCTCGTACCCCTGTTGAAGATTACTGTCCCGAGCAACCATGGAGATACCTGTGGTTCTACTTGTGCATGTCTGCAGCAACATGGTAGCTTTGCCTTCTGATCTCTCCTGCTCTGTTGACTCACTGTCCATTCAGCTACTGTGCATTTCTTGGACCTGTGCTTCAGTTACAGAGGCTACGACTGTAGAAATAATCTGTTCTACACGCAAGCTGGAGAAGTGGTCTATCACATTGCTGCAGTTGCCGTGGTGTACAACAGACAGCAACACTCCCAGAGGCTGTACCTGGGGCACGATGATGACATTCTCAGCCTGACCATCCATCCAGTGAAGGACTATGTGGCCACTGGGCAGGTATAGATCTCTCCTCTGAGATGGGGGCCTCGCCAAAGAGAGGGAGAGGATTTAGTTATGAGCCCAGTTTATATACTGGTTCAAGAAATACTTGATAGAAACAAACATGAGGCATGAAGCTGAAGATTCAGTGAATGCTGGGTCATGTGATGGTGGGAGCCTCATCCGCTATATTATAGCACTGTGGGAAGCCTCTGACGGATTTCATCTTGACATGATATCTACAAACAGGATTAGCTAAAACTAAATTAAGTTCCATGAATGCAGTCTTAATATATTTTCCTCATCACTGTGTACCCAGTACTTATTATATCCTCGGTAATCAGTGTTTATTGAATTAGCCATCTTTTAATACTAGCATAACATCTAGTGAATAGTTATTTTTGTAAAACTTAAAGCCATGAATTTTGACTAATTCATCATTTTATATTTTAACCTTTAAAAAACAAAATTCTATCAGACCCATTTTGGAATGCCTAAACTTTGGATTGAACCTATAATTGGAAAGCTACTCAAAACAGAGCCCTATATTCAGTCATTTTGTGCATGGAAAGGAGGGAGATAAAGTCAACTTTGTAAACAAAAAATCCGTTAAACTCAGATTTATTATCTTGTGGCAAAGTAGTAATGTTAGTAGTATTTTCAGTTTTGTACTCTTTCAATGTATAGACTGCATTTTTGTTCAGTTTTATCATGGGCTTTTAACTGCAGGTAAGACTTAAACTGATTCTCAACATGTAAGTGGCAAACTCAAGGAAAAACACGTGGTATGAGGGTCAGCAATTAACAGGAAACAAGTGTTTCTGAGACCTGACATACAGGTGGTAGAGAAGTCTTTGCACAGATTTCATAGCCTCGTGTTCATGAGATCAGTGGTTAAAGTGAGGGCATGAAAGGAGTCAGTCCCCAGAAATGTGCATTTTGGGGGAGGAAAGTCCATAGCTTTTATAATTTGTGAAAGGATTACAGTCCTTCAAAAGCAAAGTGCTATTAACTGACATACTGGTTTGCTACCAACTGCATATTAGACCATCTCTTCTGAATTAGCTGCCATGATTAAGTTTCTTACAGTAATTGATGACTACTTTGCATTTTTACATTTCACTCTCCTCCCTCCCCCTTTTTATTGTTCTGATAACAGATGATGCTTGGTTCATGTGTATTTAATAACTTTCCTTTGAAAGAGGGAACAGGGATTGGTTCTTTGCGTAAACCCCTGAGGAGATACCACATTCTATCCTGTAATTGCTGAGAGACAAACCGGTGACAAATCAGTGCACCAGCAGCCACTCCAGGGGTAACTGGGCCTCCATACACCAGTGTAGGAGTTAGCTGGATTCTGCTTCGTTATGTGCATGCTTTTATGTCACATTTCCCCTTTTATAGTCCTTACACCCAACAGGGTTCTTTTTTCCATTACAATCAAGTGAGGAAAACCACTTTACTATTAAAATTTTTTCTGTTGTTGGGAATTAATGGGAGAGAAGTTGGTATCCCCTCAAGGAGAATCCACTTTAAGAACAAGTAAGCCATGAAACTGTCATTTCCCGGGGGAGAAGCAGGGCCAGGCCTTCTTGGGATGAGTGAAATAATTAAGGTGGGTAAAAGAACTCTGAGGACAGGGCCGTAACAACATACAGGTGACTTCCTTGACCAAGAAGTGGAATCGTACATGGAGTTGAGAAGGCAGGAGAGAGAGATGTCGAACTAACCCAAAAAGCACAGTGGACATTTGATTTGGAGTTTTATAGTGCCTTGCCTGGGAGCCATGTACCAGGTGAGGCTGGCCTGGCACCCGATTTGATGCCCCGAACGAGCCTGTTAGACTCTTTGTGCTTCTATTTTCTCAAATGGAAAATAACGGCATCAGACCAGATGATTTCTGAAAGTCTTCCTACTCTCCAAATGTGTGGCTTTGGATTTCTGAGCAGCACTTGACTCAAAGGAGCTCTAAGAATGACTCTTAGGAATCATTCTTGTTAAAATTTATAAGTAGTTAATAACACTCATCTGTTACTTAAGGTTGGAAGAGATGCTGCTATTCATGTGTGGGACACACAAACTCTAAAATGTTTGTCGCTATTGAAAGGACAACACCAGAGGGGAGTGTGTGCGCTCGATTTTTCAGGTAAGGCCCCCGTTTTCCAGTGAAGTCATTGATGGTTCTGCATTTACTCAGGCCCGGGGTTTTTGGGTTTTGTTTTTGTTTTTACAACCTCCTATTTAGTCGAGTTCTGTTTGTAATGAGCTAAGCTCTTGGTATGTCAGCTACCCAGTCTCAGACCAGAAATTAGATATGTGAATACCTCACACAAAAAATGTGGCCTTTAGATTACACGTCCTTTCCTGGCCTTTCTCATTTCCTCTCTCCCAGGTTATTACCCAGAGCTCACACCGCGCTCTGCATTTGTTTGAGCTGTTGGAAATCCAGAGCAGCTGTTGCTGTAGAGTCTTAGTTGCAAATGTCTGGCAGTGACTCAGAACATCAATTTCATCTCTCCAAATAAGGGGGAGCACGGCACTTGCAATTTAAAATATAAAGAACTAGAGGGAAGGCTGCAAATTCTCTGCAAAGGGTCACTTTACAACACTTGTGTTGTGGAAATAAATTTCAAATTGAAAACAACAGAGCTGGATTTTCCATCCCCTTAATTTAAGATTTGAACACAGTACTATTAGAATACTAACTGATGAATGTGATTTCCTTTACAGTGAGACCGTTTCTTTAAGCTAGAATGGAGAATGAGGAGGGCCTGTCACCAAAGGTGTTTTTACCTGGAATTTTTAATCCCAATTGTAGAAGTTAGATAAGTAGAAAAAATTATAAATTTTCTACTGAAAATTAATTCTATAATTTCTTTTTTTCTAAATTCCATTCAGATGTTTAATATGTGCAGTGTGTATAATGTTCATCATTAAGTTCAATGACTCCACAACCGCATTCTCTTTCCTCTGTCCCCCTTTCTCTACTTTCCTCGCTCAAGCCTCAACTCCTTCTCATCTCTGCCATGGTAGTCATGCTGGACTCTGATTCCATTTCCACTTTCTCCAGTCCATCCTACACAGTTCTGGAGTCTTCTGGAAATGCAGTTACACTGCTACCACATGGACTCCTCTTGGCTGGCTGACTCAGGGCTGAGCCTTTGGTTGGACATTCATGGCCTTCCATGATGTGGCCTCAACTTTCCTTTGCAGTGTTTCCACCCACCTACCCGTTCATGTTCCCTTATGTCTCTCTAGCCATAGAACCGAAATGCATGGCTCTCCTTCTTTTCGCCTGTGTCCCTTTGCTCATGCTGCTGCCATGTGTCCATTCAAGTCCTCCCATCCTTTAAGATCATGCTGCAAGTTTCCTGTACGACCTTCCAGGGAGAAATAACCTGCCCCTTGTTCTTCATCCCCTGGCCCGTGGTTCATTGTTCTTGTGCTCCCTGTTGGACTCCATGTAGTACAGTAGCTGTTTGTGCTAATGCCCTTCTCGTACAATAACCTGCTCAGCCAGCAGAGCCCATCTCCCTCCTCCCCACTGCGCATGTTGTAGTGCTGCAGACACAGAAGCGACTCCAAAACTGTGAAGGAATGAATGAGGTTTGGCCTCATTCACTTGTCTCACCCGTCACTATTACTACTAGAACCTCACATTGTAAACCGTGTTTACACATGAAAATAATCTCGTTTATGTTTTGACCTGCAGTAACATGGGGCAGTGAGGGGGGATTTTTTTGTGACTCGCACATCCTCACATACTGTAAACTACTATACAAATCCAAATTGTTGGATCATTATTAGAGGTTATTTGATACTTTCTGTGGTTATTGAACTAGTAAAACTCCAGGCTAAAGAGTCCCTACTGCACACTGGCAGGCACGTGAGGTCGGGAAGGCATGAGTACCAAGGGATAGAGAACAGTTTGGCATGCCACCTGCCCGTGGGAAGCCTGGATAACACACCCAGTAACAGTGAATACAAAGTCCTAAACTTCCAGAAGTTTGATAAACCTACAGTTTTAAAATAGAGTGTCGTATGTCCTTCATAAAGCAGTAAAATCTGAAAGGAAACCATAATTTGAGTTCAAACATGGTTCTCTTCCAAGGATGTGAATGAATTTCCTCTGCTTTTTTTCATGACTCTTCTCCTCAATAGCTCAGCTGCCCTTTTCCTAAAGTTAACTCTGCTAGCCAATACATATGTATGTACTTAATATAAAAATTATATTACTAAATATGCTCTAAAGAATAGTGAGAGACCCATTAGCAAAAATAAATAAAATAAAACATGAATGTATTAAATTATAGAGAATCTAATATTCATATTTTTGGCAACATTAAAAATTGACTCTATAACTCCAGATCATTTGGCACCATGTAATAAAAGCTATAACTCAAAATGACAAGTACGTGGACTATGTGTATTTCATACATATTTCTATGTATCAAGTTAAGTGTAAGAAAAATAGAACTCAAATAGCATCTATTCACTGATTTCCACTGGAAATGTGAATATGTGTATTAATGTATAAGCAGAGTGGCAGGAAATTTAGAATAATATAAATAGAATTTAATAATCATTAGAATATTTTTTCTGTAGAATTAATTTCATGGTTTTTAAATAAAGATCAAAAGATCTAATGCCTGTTACTTCATACCTTTAGGGAAGGGATTAAAGGAATGTAGATCAACGACACTGAATAGAGATGAGTTAGTAGCAATGAGCTGGTCTCCCGTAACTTGACCTCTGCATTTCCGAGAAGTCCTCTCTCCTCTGGGCCTAATAGTTTTGCAGGAAGGAAAGGTGAAGAGATTAAGTGAATTTAGAAATCTTTCCCTCATAAGGCAGCCCCTCACATCAATTGCCTGGGGAGAGAAACCAGATGCTTTAGAAAGAGGTTGAGAAGCTGATTCTGTCACTTCTTCTAATTCCTATCTTGGGCAAATAAATACTGAGATATGAAATATTCTCTGCATAAAAAGGATATTTCAGTTTCAACAATACATTCTTTATTGCCCTTAACAATGACTAGGGAGGAGCCATATTTGTTCAGCAAATGTGTTATTTTTTATTGTGGAAAATTACGTTTGTCTCAGAGTTCAAGTACAGTGATGATACATAAATGGCAGAAAGGAAGCTAGTTGATAGTTTTAGAAAGCACTGCTGTTAAGGACCCTTCAGAAAGACCTTTGACTAGGATCTCTTCTGTTTGATCCTTCTTTGAATGTGTAACCCTTACATGAGACAAATTATGGTGGTTGGTTGATCTTTTTGATCTCTCTGGCACCTCCTGAAGGTGTGAGCAGAGGTCTCTTTGATTTAAGTTATATTGATAGTACTTTGTGTGATAATGATAAAACTGAAAGCCCTGTGTCATGTCCTAGACCAAGAATGGAGATCCAGAGAGTTTGGTGGTATGGCTGGGGTAGAAGTCAGACCGTGGCGGATCCTGATCTAGAACCCAGGTCTCCTGGCCTCAGTGCAGTGAGAAGGCCACCAAGCCTGGGGTTTTGAGCTGGCAAGAGCTATACCAGGAACTCTCCCCACTGAGTCCTCTTGCCTACTCCTGACTCTGCCCTCCATCAGGGCCAGTGCAAACTTTGAGCATGAGAGTCATACCTGGAGCGCTCAGTGTCCCCCCTTTACCCAAAGGCAAGTGTCTCCAGTTGCCCCGCCCCCACTTGCCAGTATAAAGGTGGAATGGACATAGTGCTACACACAGGCTGCCACATGAACAGCCCCCAATAAAAAGAGAGCCCTGTCCTAGAACAGCCCTGAATCATACATTTATGTGAATAGGAACAGGAGCAACTATACCTTTCTTTTGAAGAGTGATAGAAAAGTGAGTAGCTTAAGTCTACGTGCCAAGAGATATTACTTAGATTTCCCTAATGAACCACATGAACAGGGCACCAACATTGGTCATTACCTAGCTGGTGGCACCATCTTTGTACCTCAGGACCCCGTATCCATCCATCTCTTATAAGCCAGCTCATTTGGGGAGGTGTTGTGGAGACCTGATAGTACATTTGTCCCTTACTAGAAAAAACAATTGTCAGGGAAATACAGAGCAGGTAACAAATAAATGTGAAAACTAGACAACAAACAGTCATATGTGGGGGTTTAGATTATTCTTGCCACTGTTACAAAGCAAAAAAAAGACATTTTTAATGAAAAGCATTTCTTACAACATAACCCATAATTCTATGTAAACAAGAAGGAATGAGTTTACATTATCTCACTTAATTGAGCAACTCTTTGCTCTGTGAATTTGTTACCACTGGCTAGGGAAAATGGAGCCATCTTTGATTTTGTGCTTACAGGACAGAAGGTGCTTCCACATGAATAGAAAACCAGATTAGAAAGTTTCAGCCACATAATTTTTTTTAGTTTAATATCCTACTCATATTTTTAAAAACCTTCATTGAATAATACTGATCTCCACAAGGACACCTCTAAGACTGACTGGATTTCACTATGTTCAATTCTGAAAATCTATGCATTTTTTATGAGCCCTGAATGCAGGGACCAACTTGTAATTGAGTAGAAATTTTCTCTTTCCACTATGCCCTTTACTGTTGACATTAAGTGCCTTAGAATTATTTCTGGACTGTGTCACAAAATATCCATAATTAATACACACTGTGACTGGAAAGATTTAAAAGGACATTACCTTGGCTCTAAAAATATGGCTGAAAATAAAAAAACTCCAGCTGGTCAAGGAACAATGGATTTTCAAAGCTAAATCCAAGTCTCTTTGGAAGACGGTGGAGGAGGGTGAAAACTAGGAAAAGATAAAAAGGTGTCCAATTATATTTCTGAACCATGTGGTATGCAGAAATAGCCTACACCTGCAGAATTTAAGAAAAGGTCACTATCCTAAAGAAGAGGTGTTACGGTTGTTGAGGTGCATCTGGATTTGGACTATTTCTTCATTTCTCCTCATAGTCATGAATTGAGGTAGAAAGGAATGTAACTATGAAGACAAGCTAATAGGGCCTTTCAGAAATGCTAATAAAAAGCCAAAAAAAATTAATTTACCCTGAGACTTTCTTCAAAAGACACAAAACTTGAACCGTCATTTTAAATGTGTGGATGCTTGTCTTCTAAGGACATGTTAATATAGCTACACAGGTTACAAAAGGAAGCACAAAATGTAGATTTGATAAATGGGAAAAAAGAGACACTGAAAGTGCCATGTTTTTGAAAGAAATAATAATTAAAACAATTAAAATTTGTAGAGCTGGATAACATAGCACATTGTCTTTCCCTTCATACTACCCATACACACATTCTTTTTTGTTTGTTTGTTTTTTTAAGATTTATTTGTTTCAGAGGGAGAGTGTGCGAGCAGGGGAAGGGCAGAGGGAGAGGAGAGAAGCAGACTCCCCGCTGAGCAGGGAGCCCACTGCTGGGCTCCATCCTAGAATCCTAGAATCCCCGAGATCATGACCTGAGCCTAAACCAAGAGTTGGAGGCTTAACCGACTGAGCCACCCAGGCGCCCCCATACACACATTCTATCTTTATTTTTACCTCTTCATTGTCGCCAGTATCCTCAGTGTTCACTGGAAACTAGCTTAGTGGGAGGATCACAGAGGAAATGTGATATGATTACCATAAGCCTTAGCAGAGCTTATAATCTAAAAAAGAGCGGAATCTCCGATAAATAAATAAAATCACCAAAATACAGAGACATACTACTACAGAAGCAGAACCAGGCCATCCCAAGAGGTACGGAAAGAGTCATGTTGGTAATGAATAAGAAGCCCTTATCATCACTTCCCTCTCCCAAACGTTTAGAAAGAGACCGTGCACAATTTAAAGCCTGGTCATGGTTAAGCATAAGGACTTAGATGTGATTCAGAAGACACATTTGTTTATTGTAATCACTTGATGATAATTTAACACTTTTGGAAAGCATGAATGTCTCATCTGATACTGAGCCTAATAGCTTGAAGGGGTTCATGTACCTTTCAAAGCCTTGTCTCATACTTAGTAGTAGTCCAGGATTGAGGAGAATTTGTTTGTTAAGCCAGGCTCTTCCTTTCTCTGACTCTGCTCCTGCCTTTGGAGAAGGAAGCTTGGTAGCTTGGGGGACAGTCTGGCACAAGGAACGGTACTCACAGGTTGGGCATTGGTTGGCATCTGGGGAGGGTTGCCAGATTTAGCAAATTGAAATACAGGAAGCCAAATAAATTTGTAGTACAAGTGTGCTTCATGCAATGCAAGTGTAAATACATAATTTAAATAATGCATGGGACCTACTTATACTAAAATTATTCATTCCTTATCTGAAATTCCAGTTTAACTAGGCTTCCTTTATTTTACCTGGCCACTCTGACATCTACCCCAGACCTGCCTTTGAAAATACCAGTTAAGACCCTGAGTGGACTGGGGAGAAACAGTTTATCAGATACTTGTGTTTCTTTGCCCTCATATTGTGGGTCCTCTGTCGTCCTAGAAGACACCTGCTAAACTGGTAGATAGTGAATCTGGCCACCCATCTCCCAGTCAGCACGGAGCTAAGGTGGAATCGCTGAGCCTAGACACTCCTCCTGTGAATCTGGCTTGTGAGGAGGAAGCAAGGGAAAGATTTGCTAACTGTATGGCCTCTTTGGTCTTGAAGGGAAAAAGCATATTAACTATTTTTGATTTTTAATTTAATTACAGAGACAATGTATTTTAAGTTTTTTTTTTTAAAACAACCCAGTGTCTACATTATAGTAGTCATTGATGATATTATAAATAATATTTAATACTAGGGGAAAATGTTCACCATAGAACAAAAGAAAAAAGATTAGATAATAGTATGTTCATTATCATCCTGGTTTTGTTTTTTAAAAGCACATTTATGTGGAGAAACTGACAGGATATACACCAAACATTTTTAGGTAGGCCTAAAAATTGGGATGAGTTTTAAATTTCCTCTATCTATATTTTCTAAATGTCCTATAATAAGCATAGTACATTTGAAATAAGGAAACTAAGAGATTAAGATTTTTAATTATATCCTTTGAAAGAATTTTTGAAATTAAATTTAGTTTCTATAATGCTCTTATCTTGGAGGTTTAAATAGAACCCAGTTTTTTAAAGCTGAAAATAGACTGAGTCACAAAGTCACATGGCTCTTTGAGTAAACATCATGAGATTTGTTTGTCATAAAATAGACAAGGTTTTTGTGATGTACCTGGGAGGCTTCCCCCAGCTCCATGTCTCAGACTGGAGTGTTAGGTCAGTGATTTAATTCATCAACCAGTTATGATGCATTAGGAAGGTCAACTATTACTAGTTATGTGTTTCGTTTAGTGTGGTCCCGCTAGTATATGATACTTCTAATGTAGCCTAAATAATATTCTTAAGACCCATTTCATATTTGTCTTTACAGTATATGAAATGTTTTGGTTTTTCATTGAAGAAATGAGTCATTTGCCATTTGTGTTGTTTTCATACAGCTGATGGAAAATGTCTGGTGTCGGTTGGTTTAGACGATTTTCACAGTATTGTGTTTTGGGACTGGAAAAAGGGAGAAAAAATAGCCACCACAAGGTAAGGCGGTGCTGAGGTCATGCAGCATCCTGCTGATTGTCTCGCTTCAGTAAAGGTCAATAGTTTTCATTTTCTGGTGAGATTTCATCTTCAAACTCAGATGGAATTCACATGGAAAGCTTAACACCTAAGTGAAAGCATACTGCAATATTTCATGGTGACAAACCTGACTTAGCAGTTAATGTTTGTTTCAGGGAACTGGAAAATTCTGAAATCCTTTCCAGAGAGTTACTCATCACTTCGCTTTTAGTAATATACACATTGTCTTTATCAAAGCTTTCTCCAGCAGTAGAAAAGCAGCTTTTCTCAGACTTGGGCCTCGCCCCTTGTTTTTCGACTGTCTTGCATCTGGTAGAGGAATGTCAATGTCACTCGAGTCAGAAGTACCATTTGTCATGAGGCCGTGTCATGCTGGGAAGGAGGCTCCATCGTATGCATCTGCCACTCGCTTTCAAAGCAGGCAAATTGTTTCCCTAATCTCCCCATCTTATAAATAGACTTTCCAAGACCGACTGCTGTTTATAGACCACCTGTCCTCCCTTACCCCAGCCTCCCTCCCTGCTGAATCAGCCTGAGGTCTGAGCACTACTTTCTACTCCTACTTACACTGGGCTTAGCTGTTTGCCCGGCCGCGGTCAGAGGTCAACATAGTTGGCAGCCCAGGCCCAGTGATACAGTTTGCTGCTCAAGACAGGTTATCAGCTTACCTCTCCACTCCACTAGTTCTTCTCTACATGAACCAACATCCTTTCTGTCTCGAGGTATAAAGTCATTTTTAAGTTAATGGCTTTGAACCCCAATATTCACTTTGTAAATTAATATTTCCCTTCACAGTATTAAATAGGAAAAAAGTTATTTTGGCAATTTGATTTAATAAATGAAGATCTATAAATTGCTGGGGACCCAGAACAGGAGCAGATGGAGCCCTGAGGACTCCAGCTGACCATCTTAGGAGAAAAACAGAAGATTTTCTGATAAGTGCTATTGAGATGAAATTCTTGGCAGCAAATAACAGCTCATAAATCTGCCTGCCCAAGTGGGCTTTCTTGGCCTCTCTTTCTAGTATTCCACACTGGTTTATCATTCCCTACTAGTACTCAGATTCAGTTCCTCTTTAGAACTCTGCTTTCCCTTTAGCTAATATGCTGAATTTTAGTTTAATATTTCTGATAACATACCAACTGCAACGTAGATTACTTCAGGCAAAGCTCATGTCTGCATTTCAAAAGCAACAGAAAAGCAATTTTCCTGCTAGAAAACCCTCTGCAACCTTCTGTGGCTCACCTGTTGTATGCCAGAAACATTCATAGAAACAGAAGAAATAAATATTTATTAAAATTTTAAAGGTATATATTTTATATGCTGGGTAGTGTTACTTCTATTTAATTAACACAAAGCAACTTAACACCATTATGTTAGTAATACACTTTATTTTTGGAATTGCTCCCAAGCCTTATGTCACATTCCCAAAACAGGACACCTGCAAAATTGCCCTCCAAGAATATTTTTGCAATTGTAATATTAACCAGTGCTCTTTCCAAGAAGGAATGTCAAGGGTTGCTAAAGTTCTTTGAAGACTACTAGGTTTTAAAATAATAAATAGGTAAATATTTACATAAATACCTGTTTATATAATAATATTTATATAATATAAATAAATATAAATATACAAATAAATAAAAACTCTATGGCCTTCAGTTACATACTTAGGCAGATAGAAACCTTAAAAACTGGGGCACAGGGGCACCTGGCATGCTCAGTCAGTAGAGCATATGACTCTGGATCACGGGGTTGTGAATTTGAGCCCCACACTGGGTGTAGAGATTACTTAAAAAAAAAAACAAAACAACTGGGACATGAAAGAAGTGACAAAGAAAAACAGGCGATACTTTACTAGCGTCAAGGAGTCTTCACAGCTCCTGAGAGGGCTTGATTTACTCTCAGGCTGGCCGACTCAGTGACACCCCTCACTTTGTACTGCATCTCAGTCATGCCAGTGGTGGGCACAAGCCAGTCTTGCCGGTGAACCCACCTCTGGCAGCCTGCACTGCTCTGGCCGGATGGTGTTCTACAAAACCCCTACCCCCAAGATGGGAGAGATGCCCGTGGAGGGATGGGCAAGGCAGGAGCCACGATGGCGTCACCAGCTGATGCCCAGGGCTAAGGGGCGCCACCTGCATGACACTGCACCCTCAAAAGCCACCTGCTGTTGTGAAAATGCTTCACGGAAACTCCTTTGTTATCAGCTCAGAGAAATTAGGGATTGGCACATGGAGATCTTATTACAAGATCTCTGAGGCTTAATCCAATCTCTGAACAGTTCTTCTGCCTCTTCGCTAATTTTCATGAAAGATTTCAATCACCTCCATTACAAATGAATTTATTCAGTCTTTTTTTTCCTTTTGAAGGTTGTTCAGATTTTAGTGTTATATACAAGTAACCCATTTAATAACCAAAACCAATCTCTTATGGGCAGTAGTTAAATCGCCTAATATCAGTGTCAGTCGGAGAAGAATAATGAGATAATCAGGTGCCTCTATGTCCCTTTATGTGCATTTCTAATGCACCAGTAACAGGACCGTGGGGGACAGTGACTAATTATTCTTGACATGCTTCATCTCAGAAGTGTGAACAGTAGGCAAAAGGTACAGTAATCAAGGTGCCTAACAAGAATATTTGCAGTGTCAATGTGACATAATTGTGCCGCTGGAAAGCTCAGGGACAAAATGTAGGCCCACGAAGAGCAGGTGTGTAGCATGTATTTCCATGTGAGCTTTGTTGCTCTATTTATTATAGGCCCCCACCCTGACATGCATTTAGGGAATGTGATAAAGTCTCCTGCAGACCAAATTGGCACCTTTGTTTTCTCACTTTCCTTTTTAAAGATGAGTATCTCTTTTTTAAAATCACATTTATTACTCTTTTCTCTGTTTTCAAAATAATGCGTGATCATTATAGAAAAGTTAACACACAAAAAAAACCAAGAGGAAAGTGAAAATCATCCATAATTCCACTACCCGTGACATAGCCAACATTTTAGTGTTTGTTCTTTAGTATATATTGTTCTAGTATTCTTATCAATTTTTATTCATATGTGAGATTTTCCACATAATGGCTCTGCAACTGGCTTCTTTTTTTCACTCACCAGTATGTCCTCTCACTTTATTCTTATTATTATTACCTGGCTTATTCTGTATTATTATTCTATATTGTAAGCTATTTTATTTATTTTTTATGGGGAAATGTTTTCCTTTTTGATTTTGTTTCAAATTTTTATTTAGATTCTAGTTAGTTAACATACAGTGCAATATTGGTTTCAGGAGTAGAATTCAGTGGTTCATCACTTACATACAACACCCAGCACTCATCACAACAAATGTCCTCCTTAATGCCCATCACCCATCTAGCCCATCCCCCACCCACCTCCCTCCATCAACCCTCAGTTTGTTCCCTGTAGTTGAGTCTCTTATGGTTTGTTTCCCCCCTCTCTCCTTTTTCCCCTTCCATATGTTCATCTGTTTTGTTTCTTAAATTCCACATATGAGTGAAATCATATGGTATTTGTCTTTCTCTGACTGCCTTATTTCACTCAGAATAATATATTCTAGTTCCATCCACATTGTCGCAAATGGCAAGAGTTCATTCTTTTTGACAGCTGAGTAATATTCAACCATATATGTATATATTTAGTTGTGTATGCATATATATATACACACACATAACACACCTTTATCCATTCATGAGTCGATGAACATTTGGGCTCTTTCTGTAGTTTGGCTATTGTTGGGAATGCTGCTATAAACATTGGGGTCATGTGTCCCTTCGAATCTGTATTTTTGTAGCCTTTGGGTAAATACCTAGTAATACAGTTGCTGGATTATAGGGTAGTTCTATTTGTAGCTTTTCAAGGAATCTCCATACTGTTTTCTAGTGGCTGCACCAGTTTGCATTCCCACCAACAGTGCAAAAGGGTTCCCCTTTCTCCACATCCTCGCCAACACCTGTTGTTTCCTGTGTTGTTAATTTTAGCCATCCTGACAGGTGTGAGGTGGTATCTCTTCATGGTTTTGATTTGTATTTCCCTGATGATGAGTGATGTTGAGCATTTTTTCATGTGTCTGTTAGCCATCTGGATGTCTTTGGAAAAATGTCTTCATATTTTCTATCTGTTTCCTAACTGGAATATTTGGTTTTTAGTTGTTGAGTTTGAGAAGTTCTTTATAGATTTTGAATACTAACCTTTTATTAGATATGTCATTTGCAAACGTCTTCTTCCATTCTGTAGGTGCCTTTTAGTTTTGTTGATTATTTCCTTTGCTGTGCAGAAGCTTTTTATTTTGATGAAATCCCAATAGTTCATTTTTGCTTTTGTTTCCCTTGCCTCAGGAGACATACCTAGTAAGAAGTTGCTACGGCCGAGATCAAAGAGGTTGCTGCCTGTGTTCTCCTCCAGAATTTTGATGGTTTCTTGTCTCACATTTAGGTCTTTCATCCATTTTGAATTTATTTTTGTGTATATGGTGTAAGAAAATGGTCCAGTTTCATTGTTCTGCATGTTGCTGCCCAGTTTCCCCAATACCTCATGTTGAAGAGACTGTCTTTTTTCCATTGGATATTCTTTCCTGCTTTGTTGAAGATTAGTTGAACATGAGGTACCTGGGAGGCTCAGTCGGTTGAGCATCTGACTCTTGATTTTGGCTCAGGTCATGATCTCAGGGTCGTGAGTTCGAGATCCACGTCAGACTCTGCACCAAGTGTGGAGTCTGTTTGGGATTCTCTCTCTCCCTACCCTTCTGCCCCTCCCCTATGTTTGCACACATTCTCTCTCTTAAAAAAAAAAAAAAGATTAGTTGACCATATAGTTGTGGGTCCATTTCTGGGTTCTCTGTTCTGTTCTATTGATCTATGTGTCTATTTTTGTGCCAGTACCATATTGTTTTGATCACTGTAGCTTTGCAATATAGCTTGAGGTCCGGAATTGTGATGCCTCCAGGTTTCCT